ACCCCCTGTCTGGGTTCTAGATGAAACCTTTGTAATATATAAGGGTCATGAATAGAACCCCCTGTGTTTTTTCAAAAATGGTTATCAATAGCAACCTGGAAACCCTCACAAATAAAAGACACATAAAGCAGTAAGTCCTGACACATAGGAACATTTATTCAGCAATAAGCAACTTAAAAGTTGCTTTGCTTTCTGGATGATTTCTCTCTTTCTTTCTCTCCTGATGTAAATATAGTCCCGCTGACAGAGACAATACGTTTAGATCCCTCCGCCCACATTTCATGTTAAATATATCACGATGTCGGTCAACACTGACAAATTACAAGCAGATTAAATAAGCTTCAACTGTTCTACTCCCACACAGTGCTGCGTTTTAAGCACACACACACACACACACACACACACACACAACATGATGGCGTATAAAACAGCTCAAAGAGTTCTATACATGTGTGAAGAACTGAAGGGATCGTTCTCAGTTCAAACCATCAAACACTCACAGATAACAGAACCACAGAGATAAACCTTCAACAGAGGGATTAAATGAAACGTTAACGTGGAGAGACGGATCATCTGATCCACGTTCTTCACACATCCGTCACCACAGAATCAACCTTTTGTTTTAAACATTACATAGCTGTTAAATGTGTGACGGGAGAAGAACAAAACAGGAAGCAGCCTGAACAGTAGTAGAAGCAGAGAGAACTCAAAGATGTCTTCAGTAATAACGAATAAGAGAAACGCAACACTGAGATTTAAACTTCATACATATTCCTCTAAGTGTCCAGAAGTGTTGCCACTGCTTCCTTCTGTCTGGTGTTTAGCAGCAGACGTGGGTTCTGAGGGTCCAACAGCTGAAATGAAGTAATAAATCTATATCAGCGCTTCTCCCTTTGGAGAACTTGATCGATGCAAGCGGCCGGCTGGGCTTTTATTGTGAAAGAATATCAGTTTACTAAGTAAATGTTTGCAGAGGAGCAGATGTCAGAATCAATCGGGGGGGCAGCAGCTGACCCTTAAATGTGATTAACACTTTTCCACTCGTTCACAAGTCTAATCTATCAAAGCTTCACTTCATTTAAAAGCTGCTTTTCTTCCCGAGTCGTCGTCCATAAAGATCAAGTTTGTTTATTCGCGCGGCGATAAAAAGAGAAATGAAAGCGACGTTTTATAACAAGAAGAACAAAGAAAGCAGAGAATAAATCCATCTTTGAGTTCAGCAAAGAAAACTAAAGAACGTCCACCAAACAGACAACAAACATGTTAAATATCTGTTTTGAGAATCTCCACTTTGACTGAACACAACAGAAGTGACTCATTAAATAAAGTCAAATAAGTATTTTTTTACATTGCTGAAGTTTTTTAACAATCAGAGAGACACTAACCCTAACCGCACCCTCTCTCCCCTCTGTCCAGTCTGTAAGGCGGCCAAAGCGGACCTGGTCTTCCTGGTGGACGGCTCCTGGAGTATCGGTGACGAGAACTTCCTGAAGATCATCCGCTTCCTGTACAGCACCACCGGAGCTCTGGACCGGATCGGCCCGGACGGCACGCAGGTAGGTGGTCCGTGAAAGCGCTGGTACTGGTCTGGTGGCTCTGAAGTCACACGGTGTGATGGGCGGGTTGGTTTGACAGGAAGTCTTTGTGATAACAGGAGATACCTCTGAGGGAGAGCTGGACCTCTGTTTGGCTGTTTCTTTGAGGCAGAGGAGCTTTTTCTTCCTCGTTCCTGTCCAGTGTTTGGTGACTTGAGTTCTGCTTTCTGCTCCTGTGTTAAACTATATATTATATATATATTTTCCTGACACGCCCACAAAGACCGGTCTAAATGAAACCTCACTTATGTGTTTTCTGGATTCTTATCATTTTTATTTAAAGTGGCAATCATTAAGAATGATGGCGTGTTAAAATACTTTCATCATCGGCCGAAGGCTCAGTCAGTATTGTGTTCCCTCATCAAGGTTGCTACTTTAAGTAAACACAATGAAGCCTGTTGTTTTATGGTGCTTATGGCAGAAGAGAGGTTCATTTTTAAATGGCGTCTTCTGGACAACAAACGGCCCAAAACCCGACCTGGAACACCGACTTCAGTGATTACTAATCGATTAATCCAGGAATCATTTCAGCATCAAGACAGAGTGAAGACTGTTTATTATCTTTTCTATTCAAGCTTTAAACTAACCTCTAGAACCTCTTGATGAACAGCACTGAATGACCAAGTAAAAGACATTTTTTAGGACAAACTGTGTCGTTTCCATAACATGCGTATTCTGCTGGTGTCTCCAGTGAAACACGCCCCGCTGAGCTGCTCTGTCATGTTGTTTCATTATGTACAAATAGAGAGTGCTCTCCCAGGCGGCCACGGCCAAGTTCACGTAAGAACCAGCTCATCTGTACTCTCTGCATGGTGTTTTCTGCTGTGTCGGTAGTTTATTTAAGTTCTCTCCGCTGATCTGAGTTCAGTCCGGTCACAACAGCAGGAGTTTCAACAGTCACGATCCAATCAGGAAGTTCGTATTGAACAGTTATGTGTTAAACAGCTGAGTTACGACATTCGATCACAAATGTTGCATTTAAAAAAGACAAGTGTCCCCACAACCGTATGCTCTCCATAGATGCTACCACTACGACAGTTAAAGGGTCAGTTCACCTAAACCAGGCTCTCACCACCTCACAGGTTCAGTGTGTGTGCTGTAAACCATAGAGAGGAGGAATGTGTCCGTGCCATGTGCTCGGCCTCTCAACTAAACTGTGTTATGATTGGTTTGCTTCCCGTGTCGTCAGGTGGCCATCGCCCAGTTCAGTGACGACGCCCGGACCGAGTTCAAGCTGAACTCGTACAGCGACAAGGAGCGACTGCTGGACGCCATCAACAAGATCGCCTACAAGGGAGGGAACACCAAGACGGGTGAGCCGCGAGCAGAACCGCTCCTACGGTGGAACCGCTGCTGAGCTTTTACACCCGTGGCTTTAGTTTGTTATCACAGCGTGGTGGAGGTTAGGGAAGATCCAAGAAAAGACACCTCGTGGAACGTGCACACACACACACACACACACACACACACAGTTTCTTTTAACCGTCGTCAATACTTATTGAGCAGCAGGCAAACACACACTCAGGAAATTAAATCAGTGTCTGCTTCCAGACTTCCAGTGTCTTCATGCTCACATTCACGTAAAGCAAATAAGGAGTTTGCACACGCTGCATTAATGCCTACAATCTGTGTTTGATGCATAGAAGCCTGTATTTACATGAAGTGTGTGTGTGTGTGTGTGTGTGTGTGTGTGTGTAATGAGAGGAAGTGTGTGGGGAAGCAGGGAGAGGTGTAATCATTAATCAGTGTTTGCAAAGCAGCGCAGTCGGTTCCTCCTGCAGGGAGAGCAGCTCTGTGAGAGGAGTTCTCCCACAGCGACGATCACCGCACCGTAGAACAGCACAGGAGCACTCGGTCACCTGGAGCCAAGAATCTATTTCCCACTGCTCCCACTGCTCCCTGTGCTCCCAGTGAATTCCTTAAAACAGTTACAGGACGTCCCAGTACCTGCTCCTTCTCACACACTCTGAAATAATCCGTCTGCCGATCAGGTCGAGCCATCCAGCACGTGAAGGAGAACATCTTCACGGCAGAGGGAGGAGTCAGGAGGGGGATCCCCAACGTCCTGGTGGTGCTCACCGACGGCCGATCGCAGGACGACGTCAACAAGGTGTCCAAGGAGATGCAGATGGAAGGTCAGAGCGGCAATGTTTGTGTTTAACTGAGATCCACTTTAGATTTCAGCATTCCAGAAGAAAATATGTAAATATACAGTTGGTGTCACTGTGGAGTCTATTGCTCACATTTTAATTCAATAAAAAGAACATTTTATAAGAGCAGGAAGTGACCGACAGAAGCTCATGTAAGATCATAAACTACATGATATCTTCTAGACGACGTACTCGGTCCTCATCCTAAACATTCCCCCTCTCTCTCTTTCTTTAAAGGGTACATCGTGTTCGCCATCGGCTTCGCTGACGCTGACTACGGGGAGCTGGTGAGCATCGCCAGCAAACCCAGCGACAGACACGTGTTCTTCGTGGACGACCTGGACGCCTTCACGAAGATCGAGGAGAAGCTGGTGACCTTTGTGTGCGAGGCCGCCACCGCCAGTGAGTAACCGGACGCTCAGCAGACGGGCAGAGAGTTCGGTCTTCTGAATCTAACGCACCGTTTGTTTTCTTCCCCAGCTTGTCCGTCCGTACCGATGAGCGGCAGCACAACACCAGGTATGTGAACGCTGGTGGTGTTTACAGGACATCATACCGTGTGTACAAGTACCTCGAATACCCTGAGGATGTGCAACACGTTCAGAAGACCCTTACACTGTAATGGTGGTACTACCATTACATGTTTATTTAAACTTTTAAATATTATTGTTTATTATATTCTTGTAGAAACCCCAAAAACCACGTATGCATAAAATGTCCCCTCATCTGTCCTTAACAGTAAGAGGACCAGTAAGAGTCCGTCTCATCTATTTACAGCCTGATATCACGGTTCACAGATTTGCCTCAATCTGTTCTGCCCTCTGTCCTCAAATCACATGAGGAACCGTCGGAGGAACCGTCGGAGGACGGCGGTGCAGTAGATGCTGAGTGTGCAGAATAAACAACACAATGACATCACATTGTGACGATCAGTGTGACCAGATCATAGAGCGTCAGAATAACTGAAGCTAATTGGTTCATTAACTTAGATTAGATGAGACTTTATTGTCATTGCACAGAGTACATGCACTGAGACATGGAGGCAGTTCAGCAGGAGGAGAAGAGCAGATTAATGTACGTAGAATAATTATTAATATAAACAGGAAGGGGTTGATGTGAATACATCCAACATGAACATGTGCAGCAGAATAAAATCAAACAAATGGTGAGAAATAAACATCACACACTCAGCTTCTTACTGTTCAACTGTCCTCTAAACATCGATTCATACGATGCTCACCACTTCACACCCCCCCGCCCGCCTCAGGTTTCCGTATGATGGAGCTGTTCGGTCTGGTGGAGAACCGGTACGGCAGCGTCTCCGGTGTTTCCATGGTACCCGGCACCTTCAACACCTTCCCCTGCTTCCACCTGCACAGCGACGCTTTCCTGGCACAGCCGACCAGGTACATGGAGACATCTCACCCCCTCGCATGAAGACTTTATGAATGAAAGCTCTGATATCTCTATCTCCAGCTGAGGACTCATAGTAAATAGAGATCACATACCAGAAGTGTTCACCTGGGTGTGATGTCCCCCCCCCCTCCGTCTCACAGGTACATCCATCCTGAAGGGCTGCCCTCCGACTACACCATCACGCTGCTGTTCAGACTGCTGCCCGACACGCCGGAGGAGCCCTTCGCCCTCTGGGAGGTCCTGGACAAGAACAACGAGCCGCTGGTGGGAGTCATCCTGGACAGTGAGTCTGGGATAAGGATAATAATTATAATAATAACTTTATTTCTGTTGTTTTTAAACATGTGAAACACGAGCGATGCAATTCAGGTAAAAAGAATCATGAAATCGATACCTATTGGTATTGTAGATTTTAAATATAGATTCAGGATTTTGTAACTGGCTCAGTGTCATGAATGATCCGTGTGTGTGTGTGTGTGTGTGTGTGTGTGTGTGTGTGTGTGTGTGTGTGTCTTCCTGCAGACGGAGGAAAGACTCTGACGTTCTTCAACAACGACTACAAAGGAGAGTTCCAGACGGTGACCTTCGAAGGGCCAGAGATCAAAAAGCTCTTCTACGGCAGCTTCCATAAGGTCAGAGTCTCTCCGGTTCCGTGTCGTCTGACTCTTCATTTACACGCCAGGCTTCACTCGGACTGACCGGGTTGAGTCTGATTAAAAGTCTAATTCTGGTCTTCTTTAGATCTATGATTGGCAGCATACTCAAACATTTTTTAAATGGAAAAATAAATAAAGTTCAAAATAAGATAATGACTTTTAAATACCTTACATGTTCTCCAAAACTGCACCGAGTTACAGGAGCTTCTCCCACTGAAACATCTCAAAGTGAAAATGCTTCAGTGTTACTGCACAAACACAATCGCAGGATATCAACGTGACAACCTGCGGATCTGTTGAGTGAAGCCGCTGCTTCATGTGTTAAAGCTGCATTCTCTCTAGTGT